GGGGGGGGGGGGGGTGGTTTCTATCCACACTAATTGCTCTGTTTGCCTCTCCCACTGCCCCTTTTCCACTGTATCTTTTAGACCAGGGATGGTCATGGTCTATATGCTCATGGCCATTTCTCTGCCCAGGCAGATTCTTCTGTTGATACCTCCATGTTTCTGCAACTGACACGCCAATGTTCACCTAGATGGGTGCTCCTTCATATTTTTCACTACAGATGCCAAATACAGTATGCTTTCTTGAAGAAAAAGTCCTTCCTAATAGAATCTTTGGCTTCTGTATCTCCCTATAACTGAATATCCCATGAAGGCAATGGGGAGGAGGGATAATTTGAACTTCTTTTTTTAAAAGCTGATCAATGTGCAATACTGTAATATAGCATAGTTTTATTTTATATGGTAGCATTATTTAATGCTGTCCAGTCCCTGGCTATATTATAGGCATGTAAGAAAATATAACCTTGCTTTGACAAACTTAAAATGCAAACAACTATGTAAAAATTGATAGCAGAAGGAAAGGAGGAAAACAGGACTAAGTGAAGGCCTGTCAATGTATATTAGGGTGACTCTTGAAACGGGTTAAAGAATCGAGGAAGTGCAGCGCACTACAGAAAATCTGCTTCCAACAGCAAGCACTGCAGGGAAGATTGCATTAGCCGTAGAAAATTATGCTGAGCAGCAGAAAGCAAAGAAGTGCCAGCCTGAGATGCGTAAGGTCCCTGAAGCAGAACAGAGCAAAACTGCAGCAGTATCTGAAAAAAACACCCATTTTGAAAAAAAAAAATAATCCCGAAATGAACCAGGGAACTACCTGAAGACAGTGCAGATGTAGTTTTGTCTGCACGACAAGGCTGATAAAGTTTTTAGAAACCTAACCAACTCAGTCCACTTTGCTACATTTCACAAAACTGCTTCAATTTGTTCAGCAGTTATTCCAGACAAAAGGGATTCATTTAGTAAATCACCACCTTTAAGTGAATTCCAGAATATCCATTTACTCAGCAAAACAAAGTCTTGACCACAAGAAAAAAGAATGTGATCTGTTAATCTCTTAGACCTTGAAAACTACTTGAATGCAACACTGCTACATTAATATAATGGGAGAAACATAGAAAGGCTTAGAGTACATTGCATCCTAAAGACAAAGGGGTACAGTTTAGAAGAAAAAGTAGAATTTTAATTTAGATCCAACTGCACAGAATCTTAAGAAATATTTTTCATCTCATTCTCAGTCAAGCGACTTTGAAGAAATCACTTTTACTCTCCAGTTGTGCAGCTTGTTAGCCAGCAAGATATGTCCTAGGCCAGAGACACAGAACGAAAGGCATGAGATATAGCAGCACGTGGCTTGGAAAACATTGACTCCAGCAAGCACCTAGGGATCCTTGTGCAGGAGTGAAGAGGTGCTCTGGCACTACGCTCTTGCTGCCAGTGGCTGTGTGGTTCTTAGCTCAAGGAGAGTACACAGGCGATAGTGTCCACATGCCATTAGTGAGACAGCAATAACGAGATAACACTGCTTTAAAAAGGATGTTGGAAAACTTGGAAGACTCCAAGAACGGAGACAAGAATGATTCACAGTATGGAAAAAAAATGACTTGCAGAGAGCAATAGCAGATGTTCATTCCCTTTAGTTTACCAAATATAAAGTTAAGATGACTTCATTTTTGCTATTACTACCCATAACAAGAGCTTATCTGACAGTTCAGAGCTTTTCCATGTATTTGTAGCAATACGAAGCTATTACACTGTGGGCCCTAACACTTTGTTCAAGTGGTGCACAGCGCCTTGGATAGAGTCGGTTCTGAGGGAAGGCCTAATCCTGAGGACATTTGTAGGAAGATTTTAGGAACAGCTATAATACAGACTTCCCAGGTATCTTTTTAAAGAGTCCAGCACTAGGTCCAGCTGCTGACAGACAAGAAGAGAAAGATAGATCTGTAATTGCATTCAGCATCAATACTGGGAACACTGAATTCTGTGAGCAGTCAGCTTCGAAACTGAACTGTTACTACACTGTGTGACAAGCATGCACAATAGACTAAAGGCACCTTTACTAATTTTGAAGAAGCAGCCTGGAAAAAAAAAAAGTGTTTTCTAGATCTAGGGCTACTTTTATTTTTTATATCTCAGGATAAACTTACTTCCACAGAGCTACTAGTAACAAAAAGCAGCATTATACACTCTATTACCTGAGGAATAATCTCTATTTTGCTTGTACTCCCTTACTAAGCAGATTGTGTAGTTGAAGATTTTTTCTCCTAAGGAATTATACCTCCCATAAGAACACTTGGACAGCAATTATTTTAGTCTGAAACTATCAGGAAACAGAAAATCTCAACATCCAATTAATCAGCCTGCTTACTATATGAGATAAGAGAAAGCAACATGTGTATTGCTTTCCCATTTTGCTACAAAGAGGGTATCCTT